TATATATATATCAAGATAACACTCAGATCTCAATAGGCAAAAAATAACAACATCAAAAAATTGGCTCCCCACATACAATAGGCCATGACAGATTATCAACTAAAAAATTAATCAAGGAAAATTCCACCGCCCATGAAAAGGACTGTAATCCAAAAACATACTTGAATGTAAAATTTTAACAAATGTTAAATGGTTAGCATTGAGTGGTAGTACAATAAAATCACATAGCATACACCATAAACTAAGAGGATCCTACCAGTGACTTAGTGAGGTCCCCATTTTCATGTCCATAGATGGCACATATATCCAACAATTTTGGTAATTCAAACAGCCTCTTTTCCTGTAAAAGAGCTGTGCATGACATAAAAATGCAGTTATCCTAAATAACAGCTTCCAAGATAAAAATCAATCCTATAGAAACAAAAATGCCTGCTAACCAAGGTATTTAACGCCATTTATTACATAAAGAACACCTGTATGATCTTTTATGCTAAGGTAGTCACTTGCATGAGCCCCTGGATCTCTATTGGAGGACCTGCAACAAAAAGTACGTCATTACAGTTGAAAAAGCTATCCTTGAAAGATCGCATTTTTAAATTAAATTTCTATTACCCACGTCTAAATTATAAAATTAAGCTATTGAACATAAAGCAATAACTCACATCCGATAAAGGACCAAAAATACTCGACGGCATAAATCAGCTTCTCCAACAATCACGCCTGCAACCACTCCCCTGGATCCACGATGCGGGAAATCATACCATCTGCTCCTGAACTGCAAGTAACTATCTAGAAACTGATGCAACGAATCATTCTTCGCCACTGTAAAATAAAGGATAAGGAAAACATGACAACTCAATTCAACAGAACCATGGGATGCAGAAGCGTGGATATACCTAATTGAATATGGTTCTAAGGGTCCATTTAGTAGCGGTTAAATAGAAAACCTATTTAAGAAAGTAACGATTCAGTTCTCACTCAATTTGTCCATGGAGATGAAATCATTGATTTGCAGTCATTAAAGTTATCGCTGATTTCTAACAACCAGATGATTGATTTATAAAATTTCAACGTTAAATGATTTCGAAACGTAAAAATGACCATGTGGGAGCTAACAGGGATCATAACATTAGGGTTTTACTAGGGAAATGAGCTTTAACCTTCTTTCCAGAAATCCCTGGGTTTCTTCATGAGTAAACAACGCAGTTCGTCGTTGAGAAAATCAACAACTGCCTGCGACTCAACGGAGTCCAATCCTCCGGCATCCGCTCCGAATCCTGATGCGACCGCCTCGTCCTGTGGCAAGTATCTCGGAAAAGAGCTGCCATCGCTTTTATCAGCAGTTGCAGGCTTCGCCGTAACGCTCGACCTCAGCGATGTGGTGAGGGGCGTGGCGGGCTTCCTCTGGCTGGATGCGGATTGATCGCTGGTGTTGCTGAGCACGGCGACGGCTTCGGTGGCGGGGACTGATGAGACGATATCGATTTTCGGAACGTATCTTGCGTGGGGGCGGAAAGAGCCCTTCGGGCCGCGAGATCTCTGCTGCGGCGCCGGCATTGCTGCCACTGTTTTGCTTGATCGGAATGTTGATGAAGCTCGCTGGAAATGAAGAGACGACGAATGGCATGCGATATGACTGGGTTTGAATTCGGAACATATCTTAACGTAGAGATCCGGAGTCGAACAAAAGTTATTCATTTCAGCACAATTGAATATTTCTGGTGTTATTACCTATTATTTAGGTGTTATTATGGTATTATTCATATATTATTGTATTATGAGAATATTTTCGATGCTATAATAGCATAATAACACATCAATATCATCAAAATAACACGTGAATAATGTGAAATAATATAAAATGAATATTTCTCTGTGTTACAGGGTCGGATCACAAGAAAACACAATTTTTTTTCTATCAACCCATGTGTAGCTGATTCATTGGACTCCGAACTTACTTCTCTCGATCCGGAGTCCCGTTGTAATAACTTTTCTTGAATTCGATATGCTGCTTAAGGTAAATTCGATTGGTCGCATTTAGTTGCATGCCACTCAATTCTCATTTATATTTAGGAATACTTACTTACATATATTACATGCATAGAACCTCGGATATTATTATTTATGAAATCAAACATTCAGTTGATACTTTTGAATTAAAATTTACATGATTTACACCGTAGATTACGGTGATCTACGGTAAGGATACAATCAAATTTAAAAAAATAAAAAATAAAATAATTTAAAGTGAGGTCCACTGAAATACATCTTCACTGTAGATCACAGTGTAGATCGGACACCCTGATTCATTTGTCGTTGATCGTTAACGTTTCCGACCTCACATCTCTCTACTGTTTCTCGCACTTGAACGTTAACTTGAATTGTCAATAAATCAGAAAGTCACGAAATCCGTCTTCCCTTTTAACCTCTTATTTCCAACAGGAAACCCACGTACCTTCACAAGTCGGTCGTCCCGTAGAAGGCTTCACCGGTGAGAGCATTAAAGGATTCACTTATGTATTTTTTTATGATTTATTATTTTATTATTTATGTATTTTTATTTTACATCCTTTATTTATTTTTATTTTATATATATTTTTTGTTTATTATTTTATTATTTATATATTTTTAATATATATATTATTAGAATTATAACTATAATTATTATTGTGTGTCTGTGTGTGTATTATTTATTTATTTTTATTTTTTTCCGTATGTATATATGTGCATATGTACTTATATGTATATATCTATTAGTTGTCATTATTATTTATTTTTATATGAGGAATTTAAATTTTAATTAGGATTTCTTATTTTAGGTGCTCATAGTTTGATAATTCGAATTGTAACATAAGCGGATTATAATGTGTGTGTTGTGTGAATTATAACGTGTGGTGTGTGTGTTTGTGATGTTTTAAAGCATTAAACTCTTAAGTCTAAATGATCCGCTTAGGGTCTTTTCCAATTCTTATGGAAACTCGACTTGAGTTTCAATATGTTGGTTCTGCTCAAGTCAACTAAATTTTGAGGATTTGAAATCACGCACATGAGACTAAAATTAGTTAAGAGGTAGCTTAAATTTCTAATTGGTGTGGGTCCCAACATTAGCCCTACAGGAGAGTCAATAGTGAAGTCTCGTGGCTATATTCTAGGCTATAGAGAGGGAGACAGACTTCACAAAAAATAAGGTCAACAATCGCATTATTGCTTGACATGTATAACTGCGTGCGGTCAACTTACGTCAGGGTAAGTTTTGGCTCGTCAAGTTTTTGAGGTCATTGTCAGGAAAGCAAAACTAAAGAAAATTTTTGAAACATAAGAGAACTGTAGTTTAACAACTAGAAATCTTTGTTCTATATTTGTTTATGTTTCTGTTTCAGTGTTTGTGGTTTTTCTTACCTATTCTTTTCATATTTTTATTGCATTTATATCGTTTTGTGTTCTTCTTTGCAGGTGCTTAAAATTTAGATGTTCTTCTTTATACATACCTGATTTCATCTTCATATTTTTTATATGAATTATATTAATACTTTTGAGAAAGTTGAACCTTTTTATTGGAAGGTATGGATGTTAGCTTTGATGCTATTAAAACGGAATATTGTAGGGAATTGTTTTGTTTTCTTATAAACTTTTCAGATAAAAAGTTAATCTGATGGAAGTTGGGAAGAGCTTTAAAGGCCATTGAAGATCCAAAAAATTATTTGATGATGTTGTTGTAGAGTGTGATGATCTAATATAAATCTAGTAACTTTGTATATTACTTTAACATGAGATTTATTTAAATATATGAGCTTGATTAAAATTCATGATGTTGACACTAGATGAACTGTCGATCTCTTTATAAGAATGTTCATTCTTTATAACTTGTCTCGTAGATAATATAAAATCAGTATAAGTATTGATTTGAATTTAATATATTATAATCAATGTATTACCCCCAATAGGAGCACAATGATATCAAACTCTCGGTCTTCTAAGATTTTTAGACGAGTACCTTGCTTATTTAATAAATATAATTTTGCAATCAAAGAGTGTTTTTTTTTTTTTGAAGAAATTTTATGTATTTTTAGTAGAATATATTTGTACCTTTATATGTTTGATAACCTTTTGAGTTTTTTTAAATGTACATGTATCTTCTAGCCCCATTAGGGAGAGTGGCTTATTGTCATTGTTGTTTTAGAGGTACTTTCTGAGACTTGTAATATTCAGAATTTTTTTAATGTATTTATACATTTTGACACTTATAATTTTGTGAGATTTTTTTTAATATAACTGTGTCTTCTGGGTCTTATAGTCTTATGAGCTTTTTTAAGTTAAAACCCTATCAATCATTTACTCTCATAGAGTATTTATATTGATGACCTAATCACAATCAAATTCTCATTGTTGTTACCTAATTGGCATTCAACCACTTTTTTATCATCAAGCATGAATCACCAACCATTTTGACATGGAAACATTATGAATTCAAATTTAAGATTATTCGAGCCATTATTTTAGTAAATTTATCAAACTAAGCGTTTCAACTGAACAAACCCAAATACATTGAAAGTGATGCAATCTGTGTTCAAATCATTATGGATCAAACAAATAAAGGTTTTGTGCAATAATTATAATGACATATGATTTTAAAATTTGTCATGCTTATAATCAAATTGGGTGTCTCGATTTAAGGAATCTAGTGAGCCCAATATCATTGAATTTTATTTTATTAACACACTTAAATGTTGAATATATATATATATATATGATCAAGGGAAACAATGTGGATCTTTTGATAAAGTGTTTGGGAGATTGGTAAAATTTATCAAAATGTCTCCCTAAAAAAATTATAAATAGACCTCCATTCTTCACTTTAGAGGGGAGAGAAAATAACGAGCTGACTGATCCCGACTGTTTATATGCAACAGTATAACAATGTAACAATGTCTTTGATTAGATTTTTACTTATATTTCCTTACTTTGCAACAAAGTCAAAACTTGATCATGAAGAAAATAAGAATTCAATTTTTCAATTTATATATAAATTGGGATACTACGCAAATATACGTATCGTTATCAAGTAATATAGAACTTTTTTATCAAGACCTGAATATCGAACCCACAGGAAAATTATGCAATATGCTCTATTGAACAACAAACTTTCTATTTTAAAAAGACAATTACTTAAACTATAGATGTATTCGCAGTAATTAAAATTCAAATTTTTTTGGTATTTTTTGATATTTTGACAGAATAGTAATAATTTAAAAAGATAACTCGAGTTTATGTAAATAAAAAGCACTGAATTTGAAAATATACTTCTCCTTATCATGAATCAGTAATAAGTATAGGAATTATGTTGTGGTAGTATGCAAATTGTGTTGTCCAAATAAGAGCAATTATATTCTTTACTCTTAATAGAGATGTTATAAAGAACATTGGCTAACTTAAATTTTGAATAGTTCTGAAGACCGGTTAGGCAGGGAAGATAGTAGCTCTCACTTTAGGGTTCCCTCGATTCCCTTCACCGGGGGCTAACATCTCGTATCAGAACTGTCGGCACTATTTTTGGTATGGGATTTGCCTGTA